AAAAAAAAAAAGAATTTAGATCTTTATGCATTTCATTTATGTCTTAACTACTTCCAATTTTCCTAGACTCATACTTCATACATTCCAATTATTGTGTGCAGCTGTTTCTTCTCGTTTTGAGTCCAACTCAAAGTGACCTTTTGTAGGGTAAACCTTTATGGGAGTGGACAGCAGAGTGGCTGGTGGGTTCCAATCCCTGACCCTCAATTTAGCCTTGAAAAATTATCTATAGCATGAAGATGGGAAGAAGGGAAAGTTTAAGACTGGGCCCTGTGACACAGAATTAGCTTCTTGGAAATGATAACTCAGTATATGTTTCTGCTGTTTTAAGTGCTCATTTGAGCTACTTTTCAGGGGAATAACCCCTCATCGTCCCAAATAAACTTTAATGTGACGTGATTGTGGTTTTAAGCCATTTAACTATCTTTGCTATTGCAAGAAAGAATAAAGTCATTCTTCTGAGGAGAGGTAACCCAGATAATACGTGTGGCATCAAAGTCTAACTGCTAATAGATTAGGGGGGCTGCATGTCCTAGATGACTGAGGGACAAGGAGGTAGCACTATTTAGGATAGGAGGCATAAATCCAGGTCTTTAGGGTGCTCACCTTGGGAAAGTCTGAGCTCACTGTGTTGTTAAGCAAATGAGGTTAGGATGTTAACCTTACCTTCTTGTTTTGAGTGGATCATCTTGAGGCTAAATCAATATATACATTTCCTACCAAGCACTCATTTTATCTCTGTTATTAAAAATCAGATCATCAACATGATTTTGGAGTTCAACCGCTTTTAAGAAGTGAGTCAGAGTACAATTGGAAGACAACCCAGTTAGGTTCTTCAGTATGCCCACTTTTTAGGAAGTCTCCTTTCTCTAGTATGCTGTGACCACCCCTCTGTATCTTAATGCCTTAGGACTGGCGCTTGACCACTCTGTGGGTGCATTAGATGGACAACGAATGCAGGCCAGAAGAGCCTCCTGTGAAGGACAGCCTTCTCCTTCCTCTACCTTCTTGACCCTTCTCCTGTCTCCTCATGTCCTACATGGGAATCGGGGACCACCCGGTGTGACCAGGGCCAATACTCACTGGATTCTGTGGATCTGAGAGCAGAAATCAAATATATCCACAGCACTTTCCAAAGCATGAGTGATCTCATCAGGTGCCTTTTCCCCAGGGAAACCAAAGACACAGAGGAAGGAGCAGCCCTGTGAAGGAGAGAGGCAGCTTACACCGCTGGTGGACAGCAAGCTTGAAACTGGATCGGCCAGAAGGCTCCGTGAAGTGCTGGTCGCAGTTCCCACTTTGGGGATCAGACGTCATAATGATGTCTCTCACATCTATTTCACGTTTAGTAAACCTACAGACTTTTAGTGCATCAGCAACTGTCAGGCGAGAGCCCTTGGGAAGAGCTTGCTTTTCTTTCAGCGATAGGAATGAGAGATACTAAACTATTTGTGTGTATTCTCCCATTTACTTTCTCCTGTGGCCAAAGTCTTATGTTTTGAGCTTTTAAAATGTAAGTCTAAGAAATTGCACTGGTTCGTGGCGATAGGCTCAGTTCTGGAATCAGAAAATCAGTGTTCCTGGGCCATTTTCCAACTGTGTAAACTTGGGTAAGTCAATTACACCCTGTGATCCCATTTCTGAATCTGAAATGAATATTGTAGAGACATACTGAGGTTGTTTTGGCTAAGAAGAGGACTAATGTTATATATGGAGTCCCC